TGAATTTGAGCTCAAATTAAGTTATTAAAAATTCGTGAATACTTATTATATTGTAATTCAATTAAGATAACTGAAAAATTAGAATAAAATAAATCTCATATATGTTATTTTTTTAAATACATGAAAGAAAAATTGGAAAGATAATTTTAAAATCAAAAAAGTGTTTACTCAAAAAATTATTTATTTCGTGAAATAAAATTTGCAGAGCGAAAAAGTGCATGTAAAAATTGCATTTTTACTAATGACAGAAAAATTTAGCTAAAAATGATGTCAACAAAAGTGAATAATGATGTCAGTAATATTAATGATATTAGTAATGATATAAAGATATATTTATATGCATATTTATTTTTATTAAGGTAATATCACTAATGATTATATGTAGATGATGACAACAAAGATAATAATTTTTACAATTTTAGCATCTGATACTTGGCTGAGATATCAAGTTTTGAAAAAAAGTACTAGCAATATGATGATTATCAGCAATACTTTAACAACTTTAACTTGGAAAACTAGTTTCTAAGCCATCATTGTTAATTATTACTGACTGAAGCAAATGGATCTGGAAACTTTTTTAGTTTGTAAATTTTGCAGTTTTTATTAATACTATATTTTTTGGCATTTACTTATGAGAGTTCATGAGATAGGTTATTCAAATTAAGGTTTCATTGAAGTAGATCAGGTAATACTTAATTGTATTTTCATAAATGAAGTAGTTCAGCAATAAAAATAGCTTTTAAAATATACTAATTATTGTCAGATTTTATCATAATAAGCACTTTTATATTTTCAAGTACCACGTTAAAAATTTGTTTTTACTTCAATTTTTAAGCCACTAATAACTTCTTATAATTTAATTTTTGATCATTTATATGCACAAACCTGAAACGATTCATTGATTTTTGTGAACTAATTTTAGAAAATGCGAAAACTAAATAAAATTTTAAATTTTATTTATCAAAATTTTTAAAATTTTGAAAACTTAGGAAAAACTTAACTGTGCGCAATTATTTTGTGAAGAAAATTAGAAAATTTCCAACAATTACAGGTATTTAACAAATGAAAAATATAAAAATAATATTTACTGTTGTTGTGTGACAAAAAAGAAAAATTTCAGGTTACTTAAAAAACAGATTTTTTTGAATTTTTGAAAATTTGAAAATTTTCTCTAAAGTAATTAATTAATAGGAAATTTACTTAAAAGGAGTTTTTTGTTTGCCAATTTCTCTTTTTAATTATAAAATATTCTTTGCAGCTATTCATAATTACTTATGAATAAAAATTTGTGGAAAAAATCACAAATGAAACTTATTACATACTAAATTACAGCATAAAATATATGATAAAATTTCAACTCTAAAACTAATAAAAAAAACAAATCAATTTTTAAAAAATTTGCAAAAAGTTAATAACCAAAAGTAACAATGAAAAAAATTACTTTATTAGAAAATTTAACCAAAAAAGTATCAAAGTAATTCTTCCATAGTGTATGTTTGCAAAGTTTCATTTTTAAAAGTGGAAAAATTTTTTTAAATTTTAGGCCAGAAATAATACTTTTATATTTAAATCAATTTTTTTTGCAACTAAATCTGCTCAAATTTTTAAATCATTGCTGAAAAATATGAAAAACAGAGCTTTTTATGGAAAAATCTCAGTTTATCCAAACTGAAAAAACTGCTCTACTTTTTATTACATAATTCCAATTTGTAATAATAATTCAAATTAAGAATTGTAAAATTTTGTTTTAAGCAAAAACTATTAGAATACCAAGTAAAAATTTGCTTAATAATGTTTTGAGTACAAAATTTTCAGTTTATTTCTGTAGCTTTTATTTTAAAATCATTAATACAATAAAAAATGCATAGCATTGGTTTTTACATTTAAAAATTATTATGTATCAATTTAATCTTTTAACAATCGAAATAAGAATAAAAAGTAATTATTATTGCAAAGTTATTAACTGATTGCTAATTGAAAAAATAATAACATAACTGTAAAAAATTCATATTGTTTATTAAATATATCAAAGATTATAAATCTAAACTGAAACTTTTCTTATCTAAATAAAATCAAGACTTAAATTCTTTGAATCACTGAAAAACTCATTAAACAAAATAATTTAATCAAAATCAAGAATCAAAATTGATCTGAATTCTTCAAATGAATGAGGTCAGAGCTTGTAGTATTAAATTTAAAAAATATGCAGAAAAAAAAGTGAATCTAACTGTAACAAATGACTTATTGTAAATTATTTTTTACTTCAAAACTTAATTAAGCGAAGAATTTAATAATTAATTTAGTGCAGTTAAAAAGAAAAAAGTTAATTATAATAAAAAAGGGTCAAATAAAAGAGCACACTGCAGAAATAGCATTCAAATCATTATAATTTCAATTTTTGCCTTACATTAAAACAATAAAGTTAATTTAAAAGAAAAAATCTGCGAAGCTAATTTGAGTTTAAATATAATAACCAAAAAATTGTTATCAGCTGATTTATTCTATTTTCTCAGTTCTCTAAAAATATGTTGCAAGACGAATTGTCATGTGATCATTGAAAAAAGTCTTGTTTGAACAATCATTTTTTCTTGTCAACAACATACTTGCAAAAATAAAAATAAATTTTCACTCTATTATTTATATAAAAATAAGAATAATGCTAGCAATTTAAACTTCAAACTTGAGAAAGTAATTTTCTTACGTTATGAGAGAATTTGTGCACAAGACTGCAAAATTTAAATTCAAATTTGTATAAAAATTTGTCATTTTTTGAGTACTGAACTGAATTTGCT